TCATCATTTGTTTTCTTCTGTTTCATCATCTTTGGCAGTCTCTTTTCACATTCACCCGTAGCAACTTTTCTTGATTTCTGTGACCTTAATAAAGATTTCATTTCATTTCACAGGTCCTCTGGTTCCCCTATCAATGAGGTTTAGGTCTTGAAAAAGATTCCTAATGGGCGGATATATTCTCAGGATCATGTTTCTGAAAATTCACTGTCTTTCTTCTTCTGTTTTAGCTTAACCTGGAACAGGTTATGATCTATTTCATAGTCAGCCTGTGGCCACATTTCTCTGATATATTTGGGACAACTATGATCAGAATGACTGAGAATCTCCATGGACAATTGGCCAAAACGTTTCACATTTTTGATTATTTCTCCTGGGTCTCCACTAGAAGAAGGAAGACTCCAAAGTTGTGCAGAATCTGGAGATGCCCAGAATAGCAGAGAACACAACTGAAATATTTTCCGTCTTACATCCTCATGGGGTGAAGACAAAGAGTTTGCAACAATTGTTCCCTTGCTATTTGCCTCACTTGGATTGACCCATAGGACATACCTTGCCATATGATAACATTGGGGTCCTTTTACCTTTTAGCTGCATTTCTCTTTGTTGCCAAGACAACTTCATATTTTGCTTTATAGAACGCGGTCCTCGATTAATTTTCCCTTTCAAGTAGTTGTTCCTGAACTGCCGTCTTCTTTGTTGTCGTTTTTCAACAAAACTGTTATTAATTTTGCTTTGGAGCATCTCTTTCATTCTGCTATATTTGTTTATCTTTATCACATATAAGGCCTATTCCAATACTAGCATAACCCAAAGAATGTTTTTATACATTGCCTGCAAAAATAAAAACAAAAAATACTGCTATTCAAGTTGCCCTGACATTTCATCATAACCTCACTTTCTTTGTTAACCCTCTCTTTCAACAATTGGCGCGATAATGCTGTATAGAATTTTGTATCTGATTCTTAAGATTGATTATGTGTGTGCTAATGTGTTTTCTGCCTCCTAATGTTTTTGTAATGGCCCTAAAGGGAGGGAACAATCATTGAAATAAGTGACAATGGGAGAACAAACTGAGTGTTCGGGATCTCAGCCTTGACATTCCAACTGGTTCATTTGTCAAATGATGAACAAAAACCCCTTACCAGGAGAGAAACTTGGCAATGAATTAAAATAACATAAAATAAGGTCTCTTAAAACCTTGTGGCCTTCAGAACAATTAGACCTCATATGTTTTGTTAACATGTTTTCTTGGACAAGGGTTATCGCTGTTTTCTGTTATTATTATTTCTTAAGCTTTCTCGTCCTTGAGAGTTAAAGAAAGAAATGATTTCTAAAGGAAAAATAAATTAGTGATTTTAAATTGGCATTGTGGACATACCTATCACACTGGTCCTTTCTGGGATATGCAGTTTTGTGCAAAGCAAAGGGAAGGTGAAAACATTCTTAGTTGTTTTACTTTTTAAAAGCTTGTGATTCCAAAAAGGATACTTTGGACTTCATGGTCCCATCCTGTAAGCAAAACAGATAGATAGATAAGATAGATAGATGATAGATAGATAGATAGATAGATAGATAGATAGATAGATAGATAGACAGACAGATAGACAGATAGATGATAGATAGATAAGATTTGAATAATATACAAGAGAGCTGGTTTGTTTTATTCTCCTTTTTTGAATAAAAAGAAGCATGTATTTTTCAAAAGGAGTGCTTATACATTGCGTGGACTTTTTCAAATGGTCTAATATTTTTCTTCTTTTTGATTTTAAAGGACAACATTATCGTAGAAGAGGACGAGGATGATGATGACAAGGTAAGAGGGAATAATGGAATCCGAGATCTTAAACTGGAAATAAAGATGCTACAAGCATAGATTCACACATATTGGGAACATTAGTATAAGAAGAGTAATTCCTATACATTAGAAAATAATGCATTGTAGAAAACCAATTATGTATTTCAGGCGTTTATTATTACTTTTTCTTTTTTTGCATCAGGTTACTAAAATATACAAAAGCCGACTTTTTTATTTTTTAAAAATTGTAATGAAGTACATTCTCCTCTCCCACACAACATAACAACTTCTACGGATTGCAGTTGGCTGGGATGTAACCCAGAGGAACATGGTTTCTATCAAGTGAATGGTTGTGTTCTTGTCAAAATATACAGAGACCTTTCTTGACCATAACAGGGAGAGCTTCTGGGAATTGTAATGTGTCTTTGGAGACTTAACTGTTTACAGCTTAGAAACCCCTTAGACAGTTAATTAAAAAACAGAGGAACCAATTAATTCCTTTCCATATGAATGATCAAACTTTAAACTAAAAAAATGTTGGGCTGCTGGGTCTTTTTTTTTTTGTAATTCCCCCTCCCCGTCTTTTTCCAAATACCAACTGTGGTGGAAAATAATAATGGTTGGTTTCCCAAGCAAGCTACCATTAAAGGTTTCTCCTTAGTGATGGCCTTTAACCACAGAGTCTGACTTCTTCCATGAAATTGTAAGACAGCCAAAACGTCACTTTTCTCTCCCCTGCTTCCAGAGTTACATAGGTTTCATTTCATTGCGTACTAAGTGAAGGTTTTTTTAAAAAAAGAATTTTCTTTCTTTGTTTTCCTGAAAGAAAAAAAAAAAAGCTTATTTTGTCATTAAAGGAGGCCGTGCCAGGTTTTCCTGGGATCTGACCGTATACTGAAGTAGGCTTACTTAATGAGAAAACCCCATTTCTGTTGTTTCTTAGCTTTTCGTTCAGGTCTTGGATGCCCAGTTACATTTCTGACATTATTGTGAAAAGTTTTCCCTGTAGACTTAAGAGTGGGCAACTTTCCCTTAAGGTAGGCTGTAGTAGAGCTTTTTCAATGTGGCCTGGTGGATGTAGGTGTCAGGGTGAAAGACTAGGTCCACCTATGAAGGTTCAGTTAGACTGCTTTATTGCTAAAAGCCCACATACAGGAACCTTCTTAACTAATGATGGATACCTGGTTAGAGTTAGGTAAGGGCCAATGACACACAAGGGGGCAGGGTTGGATTTATTTTGCTTGTGGCTATGTACCGATGCTAGGATGGTTCCCGCTTTCATTTCACCCTGTTTCTGTCCCTGCTTCTCCTACAGTGGGCTTCATTCTGTTATGTGGAGGGAAAGACATGAAAATCCTACCTATATTCCCCCCACCCCTAGAAAACAAGGATCCCTTCCCCCCCAAAAAAAGAATGGTCTTGCCCACTTTGTGTCATTGTTAGGGGGGAATTCCTTAAACATTCTCTGCTTGCTGATTTCCCCATGGTTAATTCCTGAAAGGGGCTCGGAACCTCCTATCCCGAAGGTCAGATTGGCCAAGACAATAGCAGGACTACTTGATATGTTAAAAAATATATCCTTCTTTGGAATAAATTCTCAACAGCCTCATTATTCAGGACTGCAGGATAAATGTTAAATGTTTGAATATTTCAGCCTCCCTTGGACCATGTCCATGGAGCTCATTTTCCAAAAAAACAGGCTGATTATTTTGTGGCAAAAGAGTAAAAATTCTTATTCTGTTCAACAATTTTTTTCTTTTAAAAAACTCTTTTTCCCTGCAAGATTGAACTTACCCTTTTGTGGTCTTTAAGCCTAGCAATTCTTTCTCTGTTCAGAAGTATGAGGGGGAGATATTAAGTAACACAAGTGTTATTTAATCAATTCTTAACTGTGAATTTATTTCCAAGGTCGTATTTTTCATCTTTTTAAATAGTACTTTTATTAACCCTTAAATGAAAGAGTAAAAAAGAAAAATTAGAAAATGTAGAATAGAAAATCAGAGCTTTCACTGTGCATGAACAGAACAGGGAAACATGGAGGCTACAGGCTATCAGAATGAAAACTTAGATTAATTTACAATATTAATACAGTAATGCTTAAAAATCATAACAGTGGATAAAACCAAGGTGAGGTTCTGTTTAAAACAAATATTATATTCATTAAAAGTAGAAAAGAGTACTGCCCTTCTAGAACCTGTTAAGAATGGATCAGGGACTGTGTTTCCTTGGGAAGGTATTCTGCAATTGAGATGGGTTACAGAAAAGGCCCTGCCTTTGCATCTACAGACTGTTCCTACCTTGATGGCAAGACATGTAGACATCTGTCTATGAAGCAAGGTCCTTGGGACTCTCTGGACGTCAGAATAAACCCCTGATTCCCACTTATTTCAATCTCTCAGTCCCAGGCAGTCCAGCAAGCTCACAAGAGAAGATGTAATATTGTGTGGCTAAATTGCGTGATCGCCACATTTTTGTAGCGCAATCTGAGATGTGTAAACAAAGCCAGCAGGATAGCTATCCAGCTGCCACGTAACGGTTCTTCACAGTTCCATGCTGCAAGAACAGGCTTGCTTTGAAAGATCTCACTTGCAAATGTTTATTTCACTGCTGTTAAGAACCGGTCAGAAGTTAGCTCGAACTAGGAAAAACATGGCATGCAGTCCCTCGATTTCGAATCGGCCTCAACCATTCATGCTTGGAAGCAACGCGCTGGAACTTAGGAACCATAAAGGCCTAAACTAAAACAAACTAAAACAAATGAAGAACAGTTGCAGGAACTGGGTATGACTAGTCTAGAGAAGAGAAGGAAGAGTCCTCATTTTACCGACCTCAGAAGGATGGAAGACCAAGTCAGCCTTGAGCTGGTCAGGATTGAACTCCAGATTGTGGACAGAGTTAGCCTACAGTACTGCATTCCAACCACTGCACCATCAGAGCTCTTAATATCGATAAGATTGCTTTTATTGCGTTAATGTAATCTAAGGCACTCAAACAAATGAGCTGGCTACATGTGAAGACTTGGTGGACATTTTATGGGGTGGAGTACCCAAGGGATACTTGGACCATAAACTGCCCAACAACATTTAGCTCTGGTTGACTGTTGCATCTTTTTCTTAAAAAAAAAAAACATGCTTTCCAACTCAGCAGAATATTGTAAAGAAAGGACAGAAGGAGACTGAGAACTCTTTCTGTCTTTCAGCGGAACTTTCCAAAAATATGGAGATTGGGACCAACTTTTGGGGTTGAGGGAGAAGTTGGCCGAAAAAAGATCAAATAAAAAATGGGCTGCAGAGAACAGAGGGGAAAAGATCCAGAATATTTATCCCAAAACATCCCTATGGAAGGGAAGGATGTGGGTTGGAAGGTTGCCAGCTGTTCCATTCTCGGTCCTTCCAGGTGTCTTTTGGTCTCATGACCCAGAGCAAAGTATGGGCAACCCTCGGTGTAGTTCACATACAGAGACACAACACGGAGTGACTGCAGAAATGCATGTCTTTCCTTGCCCACACCCTCAACCTATCAGGGTAGAACATCTTACATCGAAGAAAAGAAAGGCAACTTTTAGAGCCATTGTGGACAGAAAGGTTTGAGAAGTTTGAAGCACAATTTAGAATGAGATAGAATGATTAAAGCTAAGTGAGTTGGGTACACTTTTGGGAGAAAAAAAAAAAGAAGAGGTGGAATTTTAACAGAGGACTGAAATGGGGCCTTTATTGAAGAAAAACCCAGTATGCTTTTAAAATGTTTCTAAGTGCATTCTTATTTGCAAATAAAAGCAGGATTTTAAAAACCAGAGTCCAAGGTGAAGCAGTTGAGAAAGATTCTTGTATGTTTTATATAGTCATATCACTAACTTGCGTGTTGCTTATCAGGGTTTTTCATTTTGCAAATCCAATAATATGTCTTTATTTCCATACTAATGTTCATCCAACACTTGGTTAAAATAAAAACCTTCTAATCAGGTGGTGTGAAGCTTTAATGGGGTCATTTTGTTTGAAGGTACTTTGATTGAATACCTTCAGTACAGATTCTAAAAGCAATAGCAACAGCACTTAGACTTATATACTGCTTCATGGTGCTTTACAGCCCTCTCTAAGTGGTTTACAATAGGTCAGCCTATTGCCCCCAACAGTCTGGGTCCTTATTTTACTGATCTCGGAAGGATGGAAGGCTGAGTCAACCTAGGAATAGAATAGAATAGAATAGAATAGAATAGAATAGAATAGAATAGAATGTAGGGTGGTGTAGGGTATGGTAAAGAGAAATGAAGAGAAGAAAAAAGAAAAGAATATTGGCCAAGTATGATTAGACACACAAGGAATTTATCTCTGGTGCAAAAGCTATCACTGTAGATACAAAAAACGAAGTTAGTATAATCATAAAGTACCAGTAGGAGAAGGTAGTAGAAAAGATGAGAAGGATAGTAGTAAATTCAGCCATAATACATGAGTAAATAAATATTCTTAGACATAACACAATGCTGTGGGAATTAGGTCTTTAGCAGAGTGATGGCATAAGGGGGAAAATGTCCTTACGTTTAGATGTTTTGGCATACGATGCCCTGTAGCACCATCCTGAGGGGAAGTGTTGAAACCCAGGATGTGAGGAGTCTTCCAGATATTGTTTTACTATAAAATAGGGGGTCTCCAAACATGGCAACTTTAAGACTTGTAGACTTCAACTTCCAGAATTCCTCAGCCAACTAGAATTGCCATGTTTAGAGAAACTCTGCTACAAATTATTCTCATGGTTGAGTCAACCTTGAGCCCTTCAGGATCGAACTCCCGGAGTGAGCAGTGGGTTAGCCTGTTGCCTTTGCATAGACTATATGCCATGCCTCTATCCTGGACTTTCGGTGGTCTTGGGAGCAACCCACTCGTTATGACGCCACTAGGTAAGACCGAGTGTCACCTCCAACACTTCGTTTTGAACCCTGAGTTGGAGTTAGGGCTTAAAACACTGAGAAGACAGCATCTAATTTCCATAGTTCTACAGGAGGTGGTGACCCTTGGAGAGTTGTATGCAACGAAATTTCATTTTAATGTATGCTAATTCAAAGTGACAATAAAGTTGTTCTAAATCTAAGTCTAAGCTGTATTTCAAGTTACAACACAATTGAGCCCAAATTTTCTGTTCTTAAGTGAGACATTTGTTAAGTGAGTTTTGCTCTATTTTACGAACTTTCTTGCCACAGTTATTAGGTGAATCCCTTGCGGTTGATAAGTTAGTAACCCAGTTGTTAAGTGAATCTGGCTTCCCCATTGACTTTGCTTGTCGAAAGATTGCAAAAGAGGATCCCATGACCTTGGGATACAGCAACAGTCATAAGTATGAGTCAGTTGCCAAGCCTCTAAATTTTGATCACACGAGCATGGGACAGCTACGCAGGTCGTAAGTGTGAAAAATGGACATAGGTCACTTTTTTCAGTGCCGTTGTAACTTTGAGCAGTCACTAAATGAACTATTGTAAGTTGAGGGCTACCTGTACTTTATACCTGTCCCATTCCACCACTAATGTCCATCATCATCACCATTCTTGAAAATGCTTTCCTGCCTGCAACAAACCTGTTCAACTTGGATGTAGAGTTACATCATATGTCTATGGAGATTCTCAGCCATCCAGGTCATGGTTGCGCCAAAGATGCTTTTTCAAGAGGCAGTTGGACTTTCTGGTTTTTCTTTGAAGACGTTTCGCTTCTCATCCAAGAAGCTTCTTCAGCTCTGACTGGATGGTGGAGAAGAGCTAAAGAAGCTTCTTGGATGAGAAGCGAAACGTCTTCAAAGAAAAACCAGAAAGTTCAGTTGCCTCTTGAAAAAGCACTTTTGGGAGTAACATCATAAGTTTTGGAATCTTCATTTATAAAAAGAGTAGCCCCTTTTCCAATATTGTCTGAATGTATAGTTCATGAAGAAATAATTCAATTAGTGGTATGATTGGCAAGAAATATAACAATTATAGTTAGTGATGGGTGCTGTGCTGGTTCTGAGTAATATAATTTTGGTGCTTCCCTCTATTTCTTTTTGCTTTTTTCTCTTGTCTTCTTTCTTAAGCAGCCCTGTTTTTTTTTTAAAAAAAATTCTGGCTGGTTTGATTGAAATGTTCACAGAATGCTGGAACAAGAAATGCATCTGGTTGTTTGTTTGCTGGTTTGTAAGTTTTTTAAAAAAGGGTTAGTAATTTGGAGAAAACACAACTGTTTTCCAAACTACAATACAGCAATAAGCAGACATGTGGATCTGAAATGTAACTATCCTGAATGCTGTTACTTCTGATAACCTTCTTATAACCTTTTATTGTCTAGGCCACTTTAAAAAAAAGGAAATAAATATATTTTTTTCTTCTTTTTCTTCTCATTCCTCCCTCATTGCAGGAGTCTGACAAAAAGGGTTTAATAGAAAGAATTCACATGGTCCAAGACATTGTTATAACAGTCCAAACACTTTTGGAGGAAATAGCATCTTTTGCAGAAAGGATAAAAAAGTAAGTCAAAGTTTTGTTCCCATGCTCTGAAAAACCTCTGAACACCATGGCTGGAAACAATTGGGAAAAAAAAAAAACCTTTAACTGGAAATTTCTAAAAGCCAATACAGAATGGAATAAAGGTTGTTTCCTTCACCTGAATGTCAACTCAGTGGTGATAATCTTATCACTCTAGAATTCTTCTTTCTGAATTTCTTATACATTTAATTATGACTGGAAATTTATGGAGAACCAGAAACCGGTAATTCTAGTTCCATGTTAAGTATGGAGCCAGGTTGATATCCTTGGGCCAGTGACTTTCTCCCAACTCTAGAGAGGGAGGGAGGAAGGAAGGAAGGGAGGGAGGAAGGGAGGGAGGGAGGGAGGGAGGAAATCTATAGGAATTCTGAACTCTGCATTAAAAATCCAAGATTCATACAAGTGAATTTCTCTCCATGGAACAAAAAGTCATGTTTCCCCATGTGTCAAATGGAACAATATTGGTCTTTTCAGAGCAAGGGTGCCACATTACACACGCTTAAATTCATTCCCACAATTTAATTTCAATGGCTTTAGGCCATGATTTCAAAATAATCTGGATCAACTGAGACATTAGATATTCTGCTGGGTTGATTGTCCAAGTGATCATTGTCCAAGATTGTTCAATGTCCAAGTGATCTTCTTCCTCAGTTCACCCCTTTATTGGTATGCCTAAGATTTCTTGGCTACATAATGCTGAAAAAATAGACACAGTTCTAAAAGCTTCTAAGGAGTTAAAAAATTCCAGCCACTTCTCCTTTGTTATCAAATCAGTCGATCCTAAAGGAAATCAACCCTGATTGTTCTATGGAAGGACAGATCTTGAAGCTGAAGCTCAGATACTTCGGCCACCAGATGAGAAGAGAGGTCTCATTGGAGAAGACCCTGATGATGGAAAGCAAAGAAGGGGACGGCAGAGGATGAGATGGTTAGATCACAATGATCATGAATTTGGGCAAACTCCAAGAGACAGTGGAGGACAGGAGGACCTGGTGTGCTATGGTCCATGGGGTCACAAAGAGTCGGGCATGACTTAGCAACTGAACAACAAAAATCATGAGTTCCATTTCAATTCTTTTTTGCCACCAAATTTGTTTTTTAATTCATTGGACTTATACCCCACATGTTTTCCACCCAACCTTTTGCTCTGATCACGAAGCAATCTGCTATTCCTACATTGGACAGGTCTACCCTTTCTTAGTTTCATCTGAAAATTTCAGGCTCTTTTCTGGGGCCACAGCCAGTGGAGAATAGGCCCCACGAAGCAAAGAGGTTTTTTTGGCATAACCGTGTGACCCCTGTTTTTGTCTCCCTCTTCCAAACACTTCCATGTGCTCACAAACAGAGCCTTGTCAACAGTTCCCCCTCTTTCAAAGTGCAGCCGCGTGGGGCTCTAAAAATACTAGAAACCCATGTGTTGTGATTGTGCCACATCTGTCCCAGCTGGCCGGGAATACGTAAGAATGGCTTTTGAGTCTGAACAGAGCACTGTTCTATGTGCAGCTGGATGGCAATGAGATTGTGAACGTTGGGTGACTTCCTTCTGGCATTCAGCGCTGTGACAATGATCTCTTAAGATCCCAGTGGGACATTAATATGGTTGCCCTGCCTAATCCCTCAAGAATCCAATTGTGTCTCAATTGTAATGTTACTGTGGACGAAGAAGAAGGAGGGGAAGTCCGCTGAAGTAGTTTGAACAAGCGTCACAATGATTTACACAAGCCTTTCCATCAGCATAACCCTTGGTATCAAAGAACCTTTTAAATAACTAGCTTGTGTCTCTTGTACTCCAAGGATTTAAAAATACATTTCATATATTTATTGGCCTGGGTTCACCCTCACTCTAATTTAAATGGGAAGGTCTCCATTGAAGCTGAGAGATGCATTATGTCCTCTATTCATTAAAAAAAACACCCTCATCAATTAAGAGAAAGCATTCTTCATGACCCAACTGAGTTATTCCTTAGTATTCTTGTAAAGGGCAGAAAGAGGGAGCTGATCTACTTCTGATCCAAAGCCAAAGAGTGTCTGCTTGACCTCTGGAGACTGGGTGCAATTCACACAGCCGCTCTGGAGAGCAAAGCAATTCATATCATGTAGAGACGGGTGAAGAATTGGAAGCAGAGATACTCAACTCTTTGACCATGTGATTGACTAGATGGAAGCAGAATTGATATTATCTCATTTGATGTCATTTCTGTACCCTTTAGATATGAAGATAGTTGGAAACTAGGTTTCCATTGATCTCCATTAGTTTTTTTTTTTTAAAAAAAGATGTCCTTGGAGCGGAAGAAAGCAAAGCTTTCCATCTCCCTCATGCCCAATTAACCGTCAAAATCGCTCTACATGGAAGACAGATGAGAAGACTTCTTCCTGTTTGGCAAGGCGCGTGATGGTACCATTGGACCCCCAACTTTCTGCGACAATGTCTGTGGAGATTCTCAATCATCCAGATCATGGTTGTCCCAAAGGTGCTTTTCCAATAGGCAACTGGACTTTCCTTGTTTCCCCCCCCCTTAAAAACATTCTGCTTCTTATCCAGGAAGCATCTTCAGTTCACTGAAGTTGAAGAAGCTTCTTGGATGAGAAGCGAAACGTTTTCAAGGGGGGGAAAAAAACCAAGAAAGTCCAATTGCCCTATTGGGAAAGCATCATTGAGACTGCTGTATCTGCAATCCTTAATTATGCAATCCTTAATTATGCAATCCTTAATGCCTAAATTAAGTATGTTACTTAACATTAAATTGTCCCATTATAATTGAGGGACCAAGCACTGTTGATGAAAAGACATCAAGGGCTTCCAAAATTGCCAACTCCTGAAAAATGTAGACAATAAGTTTTGAATCAACAAAGAACAAGAATGCTCAAGTTCCCGTAACAATGATTCTTGTGCAGTTCACTTGAATCAGTATTTCCCAGGCAAGGGTCCCCAACTCCCAGTCTGTGAACCAGCACTGGGCCGCAGCATCCCAGAAACTGGGCTGTGCAAACAAGCAAAAGCCCCATCCACGGGATACAGGCAGCACACGAAACCAGGTCCATGGAAAAACGCCTCTCCGTGGAACCGGTCCCTGGTGCCCAAAATGTTGAGGGCTCTTGCACTAGAGTAGGGGTGTCAAACTGGATTTCTTTGAGGGCCAGACCAGCACTGTAGTTCTCCTCCATGGGCCGGGGGGGGGGGGGGGGGGGCGGCAGCATGACGGATGCCTCCTGCAGCATCCAAAATGGGGTGTGGGAGAGTCTGCCTATGGCCGCCCACACCTTGTTTTCTCCCTCCATGTCCTCCTGCAGCACTCTGCTAGCCATATTTTCGCCCATTTTTCGGCCCTTTTTCACATTTTTGGCCCATTTTCTGGCCCATTTTTGGCTGGCTGAGTGTTGCAGGAGGCCACGGAGGGTGAAAACGAGGTGTGTGTGTGTGGGGGGGGGGGGGTTTACACACAGCCCGTTTTAGCCACCGGAGGCATCACGGGCCAGTCCTT